TCATTACTTACAATATTGCATTATAAATAAAAAAAAAGTTGAAGTCAAGTATGTAAAGATTCAAGATCGAGTTGCAGAATTTTTATAAAGCCACTTAAATATGATGTTTTCGCCAAGATGAGAGATATGTTGAGAGTTTTAAGAGGGGATATTGAAAGTAGAGTAACTTGTCTACCAATTGAGTCGGTCAATTAATTGGATTAAATAAATTAATTGACAGGTTAAGTTGGAAAAGTATTTTTCCTTATTAGTTTAGGTTTTTCTTTCTTAGTTTAATTTATTAATTATTTAGGATGTTGTACCTTTAAATAGACTTTGTAATTGAAATGTGAGAGAAGTATGTAGAAAAGCTTATACAATATATCTTTGAGAAAATACTTAATGTGAAAGCATCTTTTCTCTCAAATTTTTCTTCTCTTTAGTTTTGCTTTTTAAGATTATCCCCTAAGTTTCTTCCAATAAAAACTAATGGTGGAACATTAATTGTATAAATTAATCTAGACCCATTTTTTAGCTAAATGCATGTTGATTTTGATACTAAAGAAGTAAAATTGATCAAATCACTTTCTACTTAAAGAATTAAAAATGGAAGAACATGGAATTTTTATAAAATATTATTTTACTAATTTTGGTACCCGTGGATGCCATGAGCTAATGAACAAAACATCTAGCTTTGAAAGGAAGTCAAGACAAGTAAGAAAACAATTATTCTGTTTTTATTTTGTTTCTATATTTATTTTTTGGGTTTAGCTTAGTGAAATCACATATATTTTACAATAATCAACTAGATTTACTAGCAACAAAAATGTAAATATGTTCTAAATTCTATCAAAGTTTAAATTCTAATTTCTTAGGAGTAGGAAGATCAACACTATTTAGCGTTGACATAACAGAAATTTTGAAATTGGAAGAAAATGATGGAATACAGGGCTTTTCATTATCCTGATTGTCCATCCTTCTAGTCCTCAGGATTTCCCTCTGCCCACCTTAACTTCCATCTCCACAATTATTTTTTAATGAATATTAAAATTAATAAGATTTTGATGTTCAATAAAATTAATAGTGTGTTGGTTTTATTTTACTTTTTGTTGTTTTTTAAATTAACAACTAAATAACTAACACATATATTAAACTTGTGAAGGAATAATCCAAGGTATTTTTTTTGTTCATAGGTGATTCCATCAGAAATATAGGCGATGTTTCCTCGGAAAGTTACAAAATGGCTTAAAAGTTTTAGACTTTTCCGAAGGAATTAGCGACGAACATTCTGTTGCCAATTCCTTCACTTACTCAATCAGCAATATTTAGTTTTTGCGATGGAATAGGCAATATAATATTTCATCGGTAATTTATTTGCCAATGAAAACTGGTCGGTACATTTTAGTTTTTTTTATGCCACTATTTCGTTGGCATCTTTGCCAGCATTACAAATTAACAACTGTAATGTTTTGAATAAATAAATAGGAAAATACAATAAAGTTTTTGGTAGCTTAAACTGTAGGTAGAAATGAATGAGAGGTAGTATAGTAATTCAACAAAATTTGATAAATATAAATAGAAAATAAAAATAAAAAAACAAAATAAGTGATATGAAAATTGAGAGAGAATCGGCAGGAGAAAGAAGGGAGAAAGAAGAAGAAGAGAAAAGAGGGAAATTAGAAGAAAAATAGAAAGGAGTTGAAGGAAATAAGTTTAAAGGTAAGATTATATATAAATATGTGTTGATTAAATTTTAATTTTGGTTTTGATAAATGTTAGGGTTTTGAAAATTTGTGTTTTGGGTTTGATTGATGAATTAATTGAATTTTATGGGTTGATTGTTATGGGTAATGGATTATTTGGTGGATTTTGAGAGATTGAATTGAAAGATGATGATTTTGAGTTATGATTTTGTTTGAATGGTGAAATTATGTTAGAAATAAGGAAAGAACAGTGGGTTTCTGTTGAAATTCTGGGTTGGAGGTTGAAGATGATGAAAATTCATTTTGGTCCTTCAATTTGTGGAAATTACAGTTTAGTCCCCAAACTTTGAAAAATTTATAGATTGGTCCCTGGGGCATATTCCGATATTCTGAACAGAATAAAAGATAAATTATGGGTAGAATTCCTGTATAGTTATGAAATTTTAACACTTTCAATTTGGTCCTTCAATTTGACAAAAATTACCATTTAGCCCTAAAAATTTGATAAAATTCCAGAATGGTCCCTGGAGTATAATGAGATGATATGGACAGAAATGAGGATTGATTATGGTCAGAATTTCAGTAGATTCATGGATTTATGATAAGTTTAGTTTGGTCCTCCAAATGGATTAAGTTACAATTTTGACCCTTAAAAATATGATAAATTACAGATTAGTCCCTAGCTGTAATATTAGCTTTTGTAGATGTGTTTGATGAATAATTGAGGGTTAGTTAGTGAAGTATTACTAATTTTATTATTTGTTTTATTATGGATTAGATTTTGAGAAAACCGTTAATTTTTGGGTTTTTAGAATATAACTAATTAGTTCAAAAATATATAGGGTTATGGAATATATCCTTAAATAAGTGTATTAAATAGGTTATATATTCTTTTGAGTCATTCTTGAATATGTCTCATTTGTATTTAGATAATCTTGATATTCTACCGGCAGGACGTTAGTAGGATTTTCTTCGGTGTCTGCTTTCGATTTCTGTTTGCTTTCGAGTCAGGTGAGTGGATAATTTTCCATATGCATGAGAAATATTATAAATATTTGATTTGTTAATATGAATTGAATCATGCTTCTTGATAATATATATGGTGATTATTATCCTTGTTATGATAAGCATGATCATTTGTTGAATTTGAATTCTTGATATGAACCAGTATGTATTTTGGATTGACTTCTGAATTGATAGCTCCTCATTTGATTGATGTCATGAGTTGAGCCTTGAGATATTAATATTTCTGTTTGATTATGATTATAACCCTATGGTATGTCAGTCAGAATACCCATGTTAACAGGGTAGTGTTAGTCTTTGTGCACATCGTATCTGAACCCTAGTTGGTCGGGGGAGTCACCAACCTGTGTGGACTGATCATCCCACAGTACGGAGTCTCATGCTCATTACATTTTGATTTTCTGACGATTTTACCATATGATATTCTTGTTATGGCCTATTCGAGAAACCTTTTTATAAGAACCTAAATTCATACTTGTATATATATTTCTCATTATTGTATTATCTCGTGTGTGTGTATATTGAACGTTATCTACTCACTGAGTTGTTGAACTCACACTCTCATTATTTATCATTTTCAGGCTTATAGCTTGATAGCAGGTCACTTTTATTGGACCTTCAGAACCTGCTCTTTTGGTTGTAATCCGTGCATTTTCCTTTATGTCTAATTAGTGCTCAAAAACTATGAAATTATATTAACTCTTGTATTAAGACAATTCAATTATATTATGAAGTTGATTTTGTTATTAATGCTGCGTTGAACTCTGATTGAGTTAGGATAAAGTTATATGTAAGTTTGGGTTCGCATAGGTATGGAACCTTGGAGGGGAACCTTGCCTATGTGCCGGTCATGGATCCGGGATTCGGGTCGTGACAACAACAGAAATTCCAACGAATAGTAAATCCCTGATAAAACGTTTCTTGATGAGGTGTTTACATCGGGAAATCATTCGGCGAAGTAAATGGTTGCTGAAATGGTGTTTACTCACCGACTAAATATTCTATCGGTGTTTTTTAATTTTCTGTTGGTATGTGCCGGTCCCATGCTCAAATTCAGGTGGTGACAATTTCCCTTCAGTTTTCATTTTTTTCTGGGAACAATTTACGTAGATCAGTTAAGTTTAAAACAATTTGATTGGAAAAGGCGCTTCTACATGGTCCAAATAATGTGCCGGGGTCCTCTTTACCTTCATAGAGATTCTAGACGAAGGATCATTCATGGAGATCTGAAGCCATGTAACATCTTGTTGCATGACTGGATGAATCCAAAAATTTCAGACATGGGATGGCCAAGATCTCTGGTGGCAGAGAAGATCAAGAGAATGCTATTAAGTAGACTTTTCTTTCCTATTTTCTACTGTATTGAAGTATCAAAGGTATGAGCTAAGAAACAATTGTTCTTATGGAGTGGTTTCTATGTCCCCTGAATATTTAAGGGAAGGGCTGTTTTCAAAGAAGTCAAAGGTTTTTAGCTTTTGATGGGCACATAAGGTCGAACAAAAAGAATTCTACTATGGCATATATGAGCTCAACTATGCTAGCTTGGCACCTAAAATATTATATTATGGCACTGAAACTTCGGTTGTAAACCTGTCTTTAGACCGGTCAGATTCTTCAGGCTTCTTTGGTATAAATAGTCTCTTTCTTAGAAACTCACCAGCCTATATCAGTTGATAATTTAGAGTATAAATTTAATCAGCACCCACATAAATATTGCAGGCAAATCCAAAATAGACTAAGAGGAACATGTCAATCATGTCAAGGGCTACTTTCGAATAAGATGTCAAGATCATAGCCCCTAACAGGAACATGTCAATCATGGTGAGGCAAGGCTATGTTTTGTGATAATATCCTATAAAAATAAAAATTCTATCGATCTCACAAGCTAGTTGATGAGGTTCATTCTGATGAAATATCACTATTTTAGCACAAGAAGGTCAAAATCTCAGAGTAAAACATAACCTTGCATATGTAATATAACAGTTTGGTTAAACATTCTTTATAGATGGAGATTTACAGAAAATATTAGAATTTCTGACATGTAATTGCTAAACTTAGTTTCTATTTGAAAAATAACATCATGATTGGAATTAAAAGGACAGGAAGAGAAATATTCTTCTTCGTGGCATTCTTTCTCTGAACAGTCAATAGACAATTGGTTAGCCTTCCATTCTGATCAATAACAAGTATGGGACGTGGCAACAGCGAAGTTGCAGTAGCTCTTTTTCTGTTTCTATCATGTTCCTGCTGGTCCAATAAGATGTTACTTGGCTTCAGATCTCTATGAATATGCAGGAGATACCATAACTACTTCTCAACCCATCAAAGATCCAGAAGCGATAGAGTCTGCCGGAAAAAAGTTCCAACTGGGATTTTTCAGCCCAGTTAATTCAACATATCGATATGTCGGAATATGGTATAGTACTGTATCAGAAGCAACTCCAACTCCAGTACTATGGGTGGCCAACAGAAACAACCCTATCAACGATTCTTCAGGGATGATGACTATATCTGAAGATGGAAATCTTGTGGTTTTGAATGGTCAGGGAGAGTTTCTGTGGTCATCAAATGTCTCAATTGGGTTCAATCAGTCAACTGCACAGCTTACTGATGACGGAAACCTTGTCTTGAAAGCGGGACCGAACGGAAACCTTGTATGGCAAAGTTTCCAGCAGCCTACGGATACTTACATATCAAAGATGAGACTTAGTGCTAACGCAAGAACAGGGAAAAAGACACTGCTAATGTCATGGAGAAGCTCATCTGATCCTTCAGTTGGAAATTTCTCTGCTGGTCTCAATTCGTTAGGAGTTCCTGAGTTCTTCATCTGGTACAATGGTCATCCATTTTGGCGTAGTGGTCCATGGGGTGGTCAGAATTTTATTGGAATACCAGAAATGTATAATTCTGTGTATCTAAGGGGATTTACTCTGCAAGATGAAGGAGATGGAACTTTCACTCTAAGTTCAATTCTAGACCACGCTATCCGTTTAGCGTATGTTTTGACTTCTCATGGAAAATTTAGAGAGCACTACTGGGATTATGGGAAGGGAGTTTGGGAGTATGAATGGGAAGTTCCAGCCACTGAGTGTGATATTTATGGCAAGTGCGGGCCATTTGGAAGCTGTGATGCACAGAATTCACCCATCTGCACATGTTTAAAAGGGTTTGTTGCAAAAAATCCAGATGAATGGAACAAAGGAATTTGGACTAGCGGTTGTGTTAGGAAGGCAACATTGCAGTGTGATAGAATACAGAATGGCAGCGAAACGGTAAAAGAAGATGTGTTTAAGAAGCTAGAGAGGATGAAGGTGCCAACCTTTGCCGAGTACTGGTCATATCCGTCCTCCGAACAAGAATGCAAAGATGAGTGCTTGAGGAATTGTTCCTGTGTCGCTTATTCATATTATAATGGTTTTGGCTGTATGGTATGGACAGGAAACTTGATTGATATACAAAAGTTCTCTGAAGGAGGGACAGATCTCAACATTCGCCTGGCGTATACAGAACTTGGTAATTATAATAATATTTTCTGATTTTCTTTCACTAGTGTTTCGTTTATCAGGTGTGCATAACTAGTATAGATACATCGAGTTCTGTATCAGTATGAGAAAATATTCCCAAGTTTTTTCGTATTTCCATTACATTTTTCCTAAATAACCACCAGTACAATTTTCTAGTGGCAGATACCATGAAAAACATGGAAATAATCATCAGTATGTCAGTGATTGGAGGAGCCATAGCTATCTGCATCTGTGTTTTTTTTTCTTGGAAGTGGATGGCTACACATAGAGGTAATATGCTACGTCTTATTCGCCTACTGAACTTCTAAACTTCACAATTTTTACAAGAAAAAGAAAATACAATTCTCAAATAATAACGATACTTCCACTTCAATTCAGAAAGGAATTTGATAAGTGAGGAGACCTTATCTTCAGAAGCTCAAGAAACAGTTTTTGATGGAAGCTTGCCCGAAAACATCAGGGAAGTTAAACTTGAACCATTCTTCAAATTAAAAATTCTTGAATCTGCTACAAACAACTTTGACATATCCATGAAGCTTGGGCAGGGCGGCTTTGGTGCCGTATACAGGGTAATTCTTCTGGAAATAAAGGTGCTTTACAGTTATTTAGAGCAAATAAGTATTTATCGGTTTGCTGTTACATGGTAGGGAAAATTGCCAGATGGACAGGAAATAGCTGTGAAAAGACTTTCTAGAACTTCTGGTCAAGGGCTCGAAGAGTTTATGAATGAAGTCGCGGTGATTTCTAAACTCCAACACAGGAATCTTGTGAGACTTCTTGGTTGCTGTGTTGAAGGAGAAGAGATGATGTTGGTTTATGAGTACATGCCGAATAAAAGCTTGGATGCATTTCTCTTTGGTTAGGTCTACAGCTCTTTTTTGTTTAGCTACTACATTTCTTGACTCATTTTCAATTTCACAGATCATTGGTTTCAAACAGGAGAAGCAGATTGCTACTTTTCTTGACTCATTTTCTTTTGACCTTGTTTTCTCATGATTTTTCTGGATACAATTTGTTCAGATTCACTCAGGAAAGGACAATTAGATTGGAAAAGACGCTTCCACATTATTAATGGAATTTGTAGAGGTCTTCTTTACCTTCACAGAGATTCTAGACTAAGAATTATTCATAGAGATCTGAAGCCAAGTAACATCTTATTGGACCACGAGCTGAATCCAAAAATTTCAGACTTCGGAATAGCCAGGATTTCTGGCGGCAATGAAGTGAATACTACCAGGGTTGTTGGAACCTTGTAAGTAGTGTTTTCCTTCTTTTTTTTTTTCATTTTCACTCCTATCACTGTTTCTCTAATTTGAGCTCTGAAAACTGTTGTGCTTATGCAGTGGCTTTATGTCCCCTGAATATTTAATGGAAGGAAGATTTTCAGAGAAATCAGATGTGTTTAGCTTTGGAGTGTTGCTGCTGGAGATCGTGAGCGGAAGAAGGAACGCTCATTTTTATAACAATAAGCATGCTTTGAGTCTTATAGGATTTGTATGTCTGTCCGCCACACTGCCTGAGATATATTTGGAAAGCACCTTTCAATTTCTGATACTATTACACTTGCAAACTCTTACTTGTATGATTGTATCAACATTTTCAGGCTTGGAAACTGTGGAATGAAGGTGACATTGCAGCTTTGGTCGATCCCGCAATATCAGATCCATGTTTTCAGGTGGAGATATTCCGTTGCATACATATTGGTCTGTTGTGCGTGCAAGAATTGGCAAAAGATAGACCGGCCGTGTCAACAATCATTTCCGTGCTAAATAGTGAAATTGTGAATCTTCCTACTCCAAAGAAACCAGCATTTGTTGAAAGGCTGAGTTCCTTGGATACAGAGTCCATTACTCAGAGCCATAAGATAAATTCCATTAACAATGTGACGATTTCTGATCTTAAAGGCCGATAGAGTTCAGAACTTGTTTTCTTTTCTGTTACATATCTACATAGCTGATCATCGTGAAATGTTATATAACATTACATTGCTTGGTATGACTCAATCAGATTGCTATCAGTCTGTCAGTTTTGTGGTATTTGTATTCTACTTGCAGTTTAAAGAAAATATCATTTACTGATAGGAAAGCTCCCAGTGGCCTTTTCATGCATCCTCATGCTGTTCCTTGAAAAAAATGCTTGAAACGATGGCTTCTGTAGCTCCTGTTAGACATGAAGTAGCTTTCTTTTAGCAAAAGCAAATCCTGGGTTATAGAATTTGTTCTCATTCAAAAGTCAACCTGTATGGTCTAAATCAAGCTTAGTTTAAAATAGTAATGTTAAAAGACAATGTAATCATCTTGGACTTATTTTTGAAAAAAATTATGAGCTCATGTTGAACAGAGCGAGATGGGAGGAGAACTGCTGTTATTGACCAGCAACGCATCCGCAAGTAAGGCTTTCCATTATCATCAAGGATAAATACAGGTATATGTATTTATGGGACATAGCAGCAGTACTCCTTGTCTTTCTACCCTGCTTGTGTTCATATTTCGATGCTGCCATTGACATATTTACATCATCTCTACCCATCAAATATCCTGAAACTATTGTCTCGACAAGCAATATTTTAAAACTGGGATTTTCCAGCCCCGTTAATTCCTCAAAACGCTGTGTTGGAATATTTTTAAACTATTGTCTCGACGAGCAATGTTTCGGCAACAATATCATGATACAGTGACTTATCAAAAGTGAAGAGGTGGATATGAGATTCTCATATTGTCTTAATAGTAATCTTCTTGATAACTGCTTAAGGATCAGATGTATCTTCCTATAAGTTTTAATTAAAAAATTATCATTGAGAAGAAACTGTTAAAAATAAACTAAATTTCGATTTTTTTTGTGAAACTGAGGAACTTATTTACTGAGTGGGTAGCAGCCGACTAGTTGGATTAAATTAATTGGTTGATTGATTCAGTCAGCAAAATACTTTTCCTTATTAATTTAAGTTTTTTTTAATTAGTTTAATTTCTTGATTATTTAGGATTTTGAATAAAACCTTATAAAAAAAAGAAAAAAAATTGACCCAGAATAATTATACTTGGGAAAAACATGAAGGAACCAACCAATAAACTTAAAGGACACTAAGAGAGTACAATGTCTAAACATGACCCACGTAACCCTTATTTACGAGGTAGTATAAATACATTAAGAGAATGGAGAGGTGACTTCTCCTTTCCCCATGGTCCGGCCAGAACAACCCTGACAACCTCCTCTCTATCAAATTCCCATCAAAACACTCCTTGCATATCACCTTTCTTGAATGCTTGTCTAAGAAAAAGATTAAATGCGAGGTGAGAGACCAAAAAAATTCAAGTGTTGGAAGAGATACAGGGTTGGCCGGAACACCATAAAAGAAAGGGAAGAGAAGCAAAAAGAGAAGAAGAAAATCTTGAAAAACTCCCCCAGATTTGTGTAAATTCGTGTGGTAAGAACAAATCTTTACTCTTTTATTGTTGTTTTGATTTAATTAGGTTCAAGGGGAGAAAGCCCAAAATGAGAAAATCTAGAGTTCTTATACTTACTGATTATTAAGGACCAAAATGATAAGACTAGAAGTTAGTCTTAAGGAAAGACAAAATTCAGAATTTTATAACAAAAGAAACTCATGAATGTCGAGAGAGAAAACCCAAGCGAAGGCCGGCCACTAAAGGAGTGGAGGGAGAAGAGAAATTTATTGATAAACTCTAGTATCGCACCCGATAACAACATAGTTTTACAAGTTTATTTTTGAAAAAAATAAATTTTTGATATTTTATTCTTTAATAAAAAATATTTTTATTTAAGAAATCACTAAATATTATAGCATTAGAAATTTTAATTTATCAATAAAAATTTTATGATTTGAAACTGATTACATGAAAAAAAAATATTATCATTTCTTAAACATTTTGTCTGAGTCAGACTATATTGCTAGTATTGTTTTAAATTGTTAAATATTTATTAATTTAGACTATGATAATTTGTTTATAATATTCTTAACTTTGATGTCAATGAATATTTAACTACGGATACTTCCAGCTTTAATGTTGGTAAATATTACATAGATATAAATATTTTTATTCTTGACTCTAACGTCAATAAATAAACAACTAAAATAAATTTATTTTTATATATGTATATATGTTTTATTTTTCTAGATAAATAAAATAAAATATAATTAATAATATAAATATAAATTAATATTTTTATTCTTGATTCTGATGTTAGTTAATAAATCAATAAATTTTTATTATTTTTATTCGTACATGCATATTTAATTTTTATATTTTAATATTTTTTATTTTTTGAGCTAGTCTTACTTAACTCATATAAGCTGGGCTGGACCCAGCCAGCCCTGCCCGGTCGCTGGCTTAGGCAGTGACCTGGCTGGGCTAAC